TGCTAGCATTCTAAAACTTTAGCATGTCTCAGATAAATTAATTTATTTGAAAAAATGAGCACACTGTTACACTCTTTATGAAACCTTTCAGTGTCCAGAATCTCATGTGGTGTTCCTCTGCACCTAAGGGATTTCTTCTTTTCACTGTTGAATTATTATTCCACCCCACCCACACGTTTGATGGTCATTGGTTACTGTAACTTTTTCCATTTGCAATTAATTTTAAGTCAGTCTTTTGTGTGTGTGTGTGTGTGTGTGTGTGTGTTATTTGAACTCAGTCTTTTGTGTTTGTGTGTGTGTGTGTGTGCGTGCGTGTGCGCACGTGCGTGTGTTTTCAATTACATTAGAAAAAAGAAACATGAATTCATCATAATCAAAGAAGAAAAACAATTTGAGGCGCAAATAAAAATCTCAAAGGACGAGAAGATTAACACCAACTTTAAATGTTGCCCTGCCGTTGACTGGCGAGCATTCCAGGGTGTTCCTACCTCCAGTCCAAAGCGCTATATAAAAATTGAAGGGAAAGAAAATTTGAATATGATCCGAAAAGGTTTTCTGCTCACAATAATAAGTATTGATCCAATGTATCCTCTTTTGATGTGTCTCAAGTGGTTATTCCAAACACATTGACTTGCAAGTGTGCTCCACAGCGAAGAGTTGACCATGACCAAAATCCGCTCACTCAGCTAATACAGAAGTCATTAAGCAGCTCTCTAGCAGGTGATCATTCCCCTGAATGCCAATGATCGGAGGACACCACTTATAGATCCGGAGCCATTTAAAGAACCTGAGGTCCTGCTCACAAGAGGGTGACTTCCCATTAAAATTGATATTTATTCTCCATACTATTCACCTGTTCTCAAAACCGAGTATAGTTGTGATTTCAGTGATTTTCAAGCAGATTGAGCAATTTATGATAAAAAGCTTGACTGCTGTGCTCATTGTAGTACAGAGCCCCGGCACATCAATATGATTTGTTGAAGTGTGGCCGTTTCAAAGGTCTCAAGAGTTGGAGTCAACACTACTAAGTGATAAAATCAAATCAAATCAGGTCACCAGGAAAGTTCGGCAAAAGAGTGGTGAAATGGACATACAGTAAAGATGGCTGGCATTGGATAGCTAAAGTAGTATCTGCCCTTTTGTCTTCTCTCCTTTGATCAACACGCCCCCCAGTATAAATCAAAATCATTTAGAACAAAGAATGTGAAGCCGAGTCGGTACCCCTGGTCACATGGTCCATATATGTCATGTCCTACTACACGTCTGCTCGGTCAGCCCTGCAGGTGTCGTAGCTAAATTTTTCTGACACTGCGTTTTATCAAGTTATGATTCCATTTAAATTGTCTCACGGTAAACAAAAGCCGAGTATAGCGGTGTTGAATTGCAAAAAAGTCATGCATAACCCATAATGAAAACCCTCTTGGATCCCCGTTTGAGTTATATAGTGCGAGCCATCTTTAAGTGAAATGTAGTGATACGAGTTGTAATTTCCCATTTGTTCTTTTATTCAAGTATTTGTATCTATTTCAGCAACAAGAACAATTTCAATGATGTAGTTCTGTTACATATTTGTCCATGATGAAAGGATGGAAGGAGAGAGATAAAAAGAGATTACCCAGTCACAATCCACGTAAGATATTAAGGTAGAGGGGGCAGCAAGCCACATGGGACTAAATAAAATGTGACTTTCAGGGGGTCTGGGTCAGATTGGGAGTATTTGTTTTGGAGCATCAGGGGCTATGCTGTCTAGACTGGCAATGGGCCCCCTCGCAGTCCCCCCAACTCAGACACTTTATGTTATTAACTGTACATTGTGAGCCTTAATCCCTCGTACAGTTACTCATCCATGACAAGGCGTCGGTCCCTCACTGAGCAGCAACAGCCTTGATAATGCTGTCATGTGACGAGACAGCACCTTAGAACAAGAGGACAATAAAACAAAATGCTATGTCATTTGTATGTATATGTTAACCTTTATGAAAGTGATTTACGCATCTTTTATTTGACCTCAAGTTGTGGTTAATTGTGTTAATTCTGGAGAGCATCGCATAAATATTATACATTCTCAATTTTAATTGTCAAGTGGTTGTACACAATGGAATCATCTGGATTTAGATACAATTTCCAAGTAGTATATAGTCTACTAATAGTCTAACCGTCCACTTAAAATATGTATCTGGATGCAGATGATTTTATTTTGAACAACCACTTGATAAATTAATTGAATAAATTCAACACACCATTTTTTCAATGTAGGTACTGATTGTACGTGTGTGTGTGTGTGTGTGTGTGTGTGTGTGTGTGTGTGTGTGCGAGTGTGTGTGTGTGCGTGTGTGTTTCTACCACGTGTGTGAGTGTGTGTGTGTGTTTTTGTGTGTGTGTGTGTGTGTGTGTGTGTGTGTGTGTGTGTGTGTGTGACTGCACTTTGGTAACAGGTGGACGGACGATAAAGAGAAAGTCGAGTTAGCGTTGACAGGCGACGGAATTTGTCAGATCTCAGTGCCCATGTGCTTATTAGCACACACACACAAACACACACGCATGCACGTACGCACACACACACATAACAGAGTGCATTTGGTGCTGCTTGGGTGGGATGGAACAGCAGGGAGATCTGAGGAGAGGCAAACACTTGTGTTTTGGTGGCCCTGTTCACAAGACCCATTTGGGTGTGACAGCTCAGCTCACATGACGACACACAGGAACAGGCACCTGTGTCTGTTTGTTTAGTCCGGTCTCACTGACATTCACCTATGTTGCTCCTGATACTCCCAAAAAAAAGAGAAAAACCACAGCATTCATATTGTATATAAACACCCTTGAAATGTACGATATATATGTTAATTGTTCTTCCAGCCAACAAGCGGGTTATTTATTGTGCCCACCCCAAAAAAAACTGTCAAAAAGGGTCTATAGTCCCATATTTCAAACTGTATTTTAAACTTTGAAGATGCAACATCGAATTGAATTTTCAAGAATTTCATCCACTGTAAAAAAATAAAACAGCAATGTTAGTCAGTCCTACCTGCCATGTGTCTCTATGCCTTATTGACCTCTTTAGATTTTTACTGCAACATTTATCACTCACCGGGTAAGAAATTGAGGATCTAGATTAAATCCTCTTTCTCATAAAGATGACTCAATTTGACCGATATGATTACTATATGGTACCTGGTCCACCTAACAAACTGAATTTTATTTTTAAATCTTGAAATTGCTCATTTATCCAAATCAAGACCAATATTTGATATGTTATTTTGCCCTCACCACTACCTCAGTCTCATGGATTTATGTTAAGCTCCATCGGCAATCTTGCAAAGTAACAAACAAAACAAACATATACAGGATGAAAACATAAACACCATCGTAGAGGTCATAATCAAAATATAAACCATTTCATGTTCCATACATTTCTACAGTGTTTGTGAAACTCTAACTGTTGACCAGTGTCAGCGTCTTTTCAGTAATTGCCATACATAATGATGAATCATCGTAACTAAATGAACTTTCTTTGGGATTTTTCTCACACATACACACACACACAGGCCACACACAAGCAGAGACAACGTCGACGTGTTTTCTGGAGCATACAACTGTTGTTTTCGCGAGCAGAGCCATTTCCTATAGACACCCCCCCCGCCCCTTTGCCTCCCACCTCTTCTCTATGTGATGCTTGGGTCAGCTGGTCTTCTGGGTGACTTATCTTGCATTGAACTGGCAGCGCTAACAGCATCAGACATGTTGTGAGCCCGGCTCATCTCAATAATAATAACATTAAGTTCAGACAGTCCTGCAGGCATGATTGGCTCCGCCTCACTTCACTGTTGATCTGATATTGGCAATGGTGTGCGAATATGAACCAGATGAGGGCTTTGGGACGTTCTCATGGTAAAATTGTTTTCGGGTGCAGTAAAAGACAGTTTGGGGTTTGTTTGCCTTTGATCTAAGGATAGTAAAGTGTGCTCATGAATCCCAACCAAAAGGAATCCACGTGATTGGACGATGTGAGTCTATGCACAGAGGCCATCTGATGGATTTCAATATCAACCACCATTTTGACCAGGAAGGCCACCTTTGTAACACGTGAGCAGTCACGCAACAAGGACCCGATGAATGGTGGGCTTTCACAGTTGAACACACGTTGCTACTTTTAGATTCAAAAGAGATAATTGTAATGCTGTAATTTCTCCGAAATTCTGCGCTAAACACTATTTCCCTCATGTGAGAAAAGATTCGTCCTCCTCAACCGGCGACTGCGCTCGAACCGCAGTCTCTTGTCACCACAGACAAATATTGACTTGTTCAGTGGCTGAGCTTCTGCCAGATTAGAACCCGACTTCCTCCCTCCGCCATCTGTAAACAGTCATTATGTCTCAGCAAATCAAAGCAGTCCTCTGAAGAGTCACATGCTTGAAAAAAAAACGAATACACGTTGAAGAAAAATGTAATTATCCAGATCTTTTTCCACTGAAAAGAAACTATAAGAAAACCCTAAAAAAATGCTGAAATGTGTATTTCAGACATCGCCAACATACCAAATGTATACAGGTTGAAGAAAAATGTAATTGTCCAGATCTTTTTCCCCTGAAAAGAAACTATAAGAAAACCCTAAAAAAATGCTGAAATGTGTATTTCAGACATCGCCAACATACCAAATGTATTTGAATATCTTGCGCCACAAGATAGAACCCCATCTGTCACAGGTGAGGGCTGAATACACACCTTCAGGATAGCCACTGCTTTACATAATCTGGTTACAGTCTGGATCCTGACTGTGAATCAATAGAGATTAGAGATCTATTAGTCTGAAGGTGTAAAGCAACTGCAGGGCATTCATAACAAAGCTAGAGATACGTATCACCCAAATAACAGGATGGGGTCATGAAACTGATGTGGAACTGCATGTTAAAAGAAAGGGCATCTTTTGTTCTGCTTTTTCTTTTAATTTCAAGTTTCTGTGGTGCAACAGTAGCTTTCACACTCAATGAAGCGTAGAGATCTTGGTTTCATAGAACACATCTTTAATACAGTAGTTAGTTACATTGATGTCAAAAATAAACCATATACAAATTCTTCAGTTATGTAAAGCCCCTTTAGCGCCGAGGCTACGTTGCACCCCTCCACCCACCCCAACACCCGATTCCTGTCCCAAAACAAAACAAAAAGCATTTGTCAACTGCCATCTGCCACTCTGCAGCCCCCCCCACCACCCCCTCCCACTGTCTCCTCGGCAAAATCTATACCATTAAACTGCGTCACCTTTGCTCCTCCTTCATGCCCTCATCTGCATATTGAAAACACATTTTAAAAGAGGACATACTGTATACACATTCAGGACAAGTGCTTCTAAAACAAAACAGTTATAGATCTGGAGAAATGCCATGGTATGAAAATACTGTACACCTTTAAAATTCATCCAGTGTCATTCTTTTTTTTCTCTCTCCCGGTAAATTGATTCACAATTCAAAGAAGAAGAAGAGGAGGAACAATGCGGCAAAGGAGCTCAGCCAGCTGGCTCCTGCCTTCCAAGTTCACTTGAAATGATGGAGAACAATGAGTGGGAGTACATCAAAGTTCATCTTCTCATTTTACCCGCGCAAATGGACACGTAAAGTCTGTATTAATTTTTTACAAGTGTTCCAGTGGTTGAAGCTGGGACTGTCCCACGGCTCCTTCTTTGCTCCACATTCGACCTTCCTCTCTACACCTTGGTGGCTAGAGACTGAATCTCGGACTTCTGAGTCTGGGCACTCAGCGTGGACGACATGGAGCTCATGTGGCCGTGCATGGCCTTCTTCAGGTTGAGCAGGCACAGGCACTGAGAGCGAAAGCGCAGATCGAAGAAAGCGTAAAGGAAGGGGTTGAGGCAGCTGTTGACGTAGGCCAAGCAAGTCGCGTACGGGTGAGCCAGAAGCAAGAAGCGCAGGAAGCCGCAGGAACTCGGGGCCAGGTTCAGGTAGGACAGGGCGTCCATGCTCTTCAATACGTGGAAGGGCGTCCAGCAGATGGCGAACACGACCACCAGGGTGGTGATGATCTTCAGCAGCCTTTTCTTCTTCTGGTCCTCCTTGCGCAGATTGTTGAAGTGGCGCGTGACGGTACAGCCGATGAAGCAGTAGAAGATGGTCATGGCCAGGAAAGGAAGGAGGAAGCCCAGAGCCGAGGAGGACAAGCTAAGCCCGGCGATCCAGAGGAACTCGTGCCTCTGGTTGAGGGTCACCAGGCTGAAGTCCATGGCACAAGTTGTCCGGTTACTGTTCTGGTCGCTGATCGTGGTGCGGAAGAGCAACGTGGGGAGAGCCAGCAGGCCGGACAGCAGCCATATTGCACCGAGGGACGCCAGCATGGTACCCCTTGACCTCAACCTGCTGCTGGACAGAGAGTGCACGATGGCCAGGTAGCGGTCAAAGCTGAGGCAGGTGAGGCAAAAGACGCTGGCGTACATGTTGACCAGAACCACATAGCTGCTGATCTTGCACAGAGCCACGCCGAAGGGCCAGTGGTAGCCCAGAGCCGTGTACACAGCCCACAAAGGAAGGGTCACCACGAAGGTGAGGTCAGCCAGCGCCAGGTTTCCAATGTAGACGTCCGCCGCCCGGCGCTTGGATTTGGACCTCCAGACAGTGAAGATGACCACGCCGTTTCCCGACAGGCCGAGGATGAAGATGAGCATGTAGAGGACCGGGATGAGGGAGTAGGAGGGCTCCCACTCGGAGAAATCGCACACCGTCTCGTTGTCGTCGTAGTAGTCAAAATTGTCCACATATTCCCCGGTGGTGGTCTCCATTGGTGCAGGGCACAAAAAAAATCCTCAAAGGAAACCAAAGTGACGAGATAAAAAGAAGAAAATAAAAACCCTGCACTGGTCCAAAAGGCCTCTGAGATCAAGCAAACACAATAGGAACTGGACGTCCTGCTGCTGGCAACTGGCGAGGAGGGACGCCAAGCGTGTGAGTGACTGTTGCCGGATGACTGCCTTTTTAAACTCAGCCCCCCAATCCCCCCCTCACCTCCCACCCCCAAAATGACCCCACCTTTCCACTCCTCTCCTCCCCCCTCCCACAAACATCTCTTCGCCTTCCCCCTCTTCCCAAGAATATGTAATTCTTGTTCAGACAGGTTAAACCTGATCTAGTTTTGTTGTTGGTCCCAAATTACTGTATTGATCATTATCAGGATTTTGGATGCGTGGATAAAAATGGAAGATTTTTTTTTTGTTCATTTTTGAAGGATCTAAAATATTTAGGAGAATGACTTTTTGAATTGAATTTTAAACAAGTTTTGAGCAAACCTTGGGCAACTTTAATGTCTACATTTGCCTCTGCCATGTGTGGGTCCAACATGTACTGCGCCTGTGCAGGACATGTCTTGACTTGCGTCTTCGTGTTTTACATTACAATTAGTCCAATTAGGCACTTGTTAAAAGTGTCAGACGTTTAGTCACCCACCTATCGGTTAAAAAAAACCCTCCAGATTGACCAAACCTCATTTATAAAGTCATATTGTCGTAAAATGATGAATGTCAAAGTGTTTGAAGATAAGATTAAATGACAGCAGGTTAACGTGTCAATTCAATTCTCAAGTCTGAAGATTCATTTCCATGAGAACACAACACACCTACGCACCGCTTTAAAACAAATACGAAAGGAAACTTCTTATGGAGTTTGCGGATGCCATTTAAAAACAAACAAATAAATACCAATTTAATTGAATTGAATTTATTTACTCTATTGTGTGTAATACATGTTCATTTGAGCTGCGGTTAATTGCATTTAAAACTACTTGAAATGGAGTATACAAATTACTAGACACTATGAGTATAGATTTGGATTTGATTTTTGTAGCGTCATAGATTAAAAAAAAGTCATACAATAAATATTTTGAGGATTAAAAATAAGCATGAGCAATTTTGGAACCACTTTTTAAAAAATAATTTCCCAGTTCATTTCCCACTCATGGATTGTGTGAGTGTGATGGCGACCTGTCGCCATTCTGTATGTGCCATGTGACTAACTAGCGACCAGTTCAGGGTGTCATTTGTCATGATTCTGTTTTTGTGTGTTTTCAGCATGTGGCAGAGGAGGGCTTTCCTTTCAGTATGCGCCCCTGCCGCACATCTCAATGAGCCGTGTATTTCAGGACCGTCAAGCCTTTGTCGGATTATTCTTCAACTTACTCATGACTTTGTCTCAAAGTGTAGAATTCTCTCGATGTTCTTACTGATTCATGCCATGCAGTTTGACTTAGTCTTTTCACGACGAGCTATTTACGTTTTACTTTCCTTACCTTTTCCAAGCGTTTTTTTTGGTTTGACTCCTTTTTCCTGGTTTTTGTAACCAGCATCATTTTTTTATACTTTCTTTGGTCTTGCGTTTTTTTTGTATATTGAACTATTTTTTGTTCAAACCCTTCTGAGTCCACATTTCTGGAGTCTCATTCTGTTCCTTAACCCCTGGAATCATTACATTGTCTCTCTACTGCCCTAAATCAGCTGGGATAGGATTCAGCACCCCTCGTCCCTGAACAGGATAAGTGGAACTGAAAATGGATGGAGGGCGAATAGGTTCCCCTCCTCTCGATTACAAGAGTTGCAGATCCAGATGGGACCTCCCCCATTAACTCAAACTGTACTGTACTCTACTTACAGCACTCAGGATCCCCTTCCAGCAACCAAGAGACTTGCTCTCTCTCTCTCTTTCTCTCTTTTTCTCTCTCTAAGAGAGGTAATTCAATAATTTCTAGGAGTGGGTGTGGCAAATTGAAAATCGAAACAGAATTTGTGGACTTGGATCAGGTGGTGTGATGTCAACAGAACTGCCGTTTCTATGACAGCTACAGACTTAATGTGGGATAGCCAGTTGACGCATCTTAAAAGACAATCCTGTACATATGGAGTCCAAACATTTGAAGTCATACCTGAGACCATAGACACTTGTTAGAGCAAGCCTTGGCTGGTTGATGATGTGCACAGGGCTGCCACCTTAGGTGTGTTTGGCACCAAGTTCATTATAATTCATTTAACTCTTTAGTGATTTTGGCACAAATTGAGTATTTATAAACATCAGACATGCAGCTATGATACAAACTACGTCTGATTTTTTTGATTGGGCCTATAACATAGAGACAATTGCGGGACTTCCAGTTCAATGCGTCAGCCATTCAAGAGTGACATGTCAGCCACTCAAAATGAAGGCTCGAGATATCGATGCCGGAAATGTGTGGGACGTGTTTATATCCAAAGATTCTTTGAAGTAATTTTATTCAAAATAAACGATTCCACCTACTCTTGATCCTCACCCACCATGCAATAACTCTCGCAAGCAGTCAAACGCACACCAGGTGGGGCCCACCTCTGCCTCACTCCCCAGGGAGAGGATTGGCACACTGCTGCTCGCATCCCTTGGACAAATAAATGTATAGATTTAAAAAAATAAAAGCAAGAAGATAAGAAACAGATGGCCAGATTAGAACCTTGTCTTGGATATCTTCTGAAGACCTCCTTACTTGTTAATCATAGCCATGATAGTCAAAAGATAAAGACCTGGCGCTGATCCTCAAGTCAGTTTTATGGCAGTGGGAGGGTATTTTGTTTGGAGTGAGAATTTACTCACTTTTGTTTCTAAATTAAAAAGTTGAAAGAAAGGTTTTCCCTCGAGCTGCATGGAATTTGAAATCTGTTGTTGGCGTTTTGACGTTTTTCAGTGCAAAGGCAAAAGGTTTGTGAGCTTCAGTTATTTTAAGGGAGCAAAAAGGGACATGGGAATCGTTTATTATAGCTGCATGTCAGTCCCAGTGTGATCAGAGGAGCAGATAGCTGCGAGGATTGTTTGAAGTGAAAAATGTTGCTGGTGCACGCTCCCCTTTACATGATTTGCTGCCGTGAGACCCCACAAATCAGGCAGCGGCATTTAGTAAGGTTAAGGGTTGCGTAGACCTCCAGGGTCATGGTGCCGTGTCATTTGAATCAAACTGCTAACAAGGTTAGACACAAGGCGAGAGTCATCCCTGCTGGACCATATTATATGACATGAAAATAACAATAATTCATGCTGCTCTCTGATGACTGTTTCCACCCAGTTTCGTTTTGATCGGGGACCTTTCACACGGGCTTGCTAAGTGCCGACTCCTCTGTGTCAGACGAAGTCACACACTTGCGCCGTGGAGCCAGTGGCACACCCCCAAAAGTGCGAGGGCGCTGCTCCTGCCGAGGAGTTTGCTGATTGGCAGTACATCTTGTTTACGTGCCAGTTTTCTCTCTTGTGTGACCATACAACGATTTGTACTCATGTATGTTTACATTTTCAGGGCATTAACAATTAGGCATCACCTAATAACTAAACTATGACTTGTTGTTTAAACTTGGAGCAGCTTTTTTTTTGAGTGTCCCCGTTTAAACTCTTAAACGTGAGGGTATGACACCATATATATTCCTCACACCTGACAATCTTGACCTCCATCAGAACTAAACTCCAGCTCGTGTCATCTATTGATCATTTATATTGACGCCCTTTTGTCTTAATAGGCAATGCATACTGTGTTTAAATAGCATTTTAGAAGTAATGCATCATCAAGCTCAAACATAATTCATGTATGTATATCTTTTGTACATAGCAATCAAATGTCTGATTTTTTTTTAAAGCCACTGCTCGATTGTGGATGATTTCATTGTTGTTCGAAATTTAATGTTTGTGGTTTGAAACATTTTTGCAGTCACTTAGCTTAATTTACCTGGGGGGGGGGGTCATTAAAGTTTTATCATGCGGATATTGTATGACAATAACGTTCCAAATTACTGTATGTTCCACAGCAAGTACCTGTACTTGTGCCAAGCTCAAGTAAGCTTCATGTGTAAAGGGGTCAGCAACCTTAAATACGCTGAGAGCCATTTGGACCATATCCCACAGGGAAAAAAACAGAAAAAAACAAAAATGCAGGAGGTGCAAAAAAAAAAAAGAAAAAAACAGAAAAAAAACAAAGTGCAGGAGATGCAAAATCCTTTTGACACCTCAGTTATATATATATATAAACTGTCACGGAGAACACTAAGACCCTCTGAACTCAGAAAAAGCAGCTTGGTTGAAGCTTACTTTGAGATGAAATTCTCAATGTTTATTTCAGTCCTCTTTATATTTATTAAACGGAGCCAAATTTAAATTAGTCACTTGCAGTGAACCAACAATGTTAACAAAAAAAAAAAACAGAGAACACTAAGACGCTCTGAACTCAGAAAAAGCCGCTTGGTTGAAGCTTACTTTGAGATGAAATTCTTAATGTTTATTTGAGTCCTCCTTATATTTATTAAACGGAGCCAAACTTAAATTAATCCCTTGCAGGGAACCAACAATGTTAACAAAAAAAATGCTGGCCGCGTTCCATCATCATCACATGTTGAGCTTCAAGTCGTCAGCTTGAATTAAAAGGAGCTATTTCACCTAACAACGTAAAATATATATTCATGTGAAATAATTGCCAATGAAAATATTTATTCACCCTGGTTCATTTGATTTTGGCATCTGAACTTCAGCGCAGAGTATTATATCGGGGCTGTTGACATCACCTTCATGTAGCAAGTAAGGTGATCTCTTCAGATACATTTCTTTTCTTGGAAGCATCCATAGTATACCTACAAGGGGACCAATAGCGCAATAATCGGTGCTTGTGACTATTAAAATGACTAAAAATGTTTTAATGTTACACAAGAGCACTAGAACGTTCAAATTTAGAATTACATTTGAAAAATGAAATAACCTGAACTTCAGCCCAGAATATGGTATCGGGGCTGTTGACATCACCTTCGTGTAGCAAGTAAAGTGTTCTCCTCTGATAACATTTCTTTTCTTGGAGGCATCCATAGTATACCTACGAGGGGACCAATAGCTCAATAGTCGGTGCTTGTGACTCTTAAAATGATTAAAAATGTGTTAATGTTACACAAGAGCACCAGAATGTTCAAATTTAGAATTACATT